TGAGTCCTTGAACCTTTCCCTCCAGATTGGGAACTGCCAACGATAGTATGCCACTGACCAGTGCCTTACTTGTAACGTACCAATGTACAATGAATATGAGTATTTCGACAACACATCTAACATAAGCCTTACCGTCAAGAAGGTGAACTCGCGTTCTTCGTACACTGTAGGCAAGGGCAAAGAGCTAAAAATGGATCTAAATCCGAATAAAATCAGCACACGTTTCCGTAAATGAAAGGGTGAGCATAAGCAAATGAATCGAAGGAAACTGGTCAACTCAGAGATCACCTGTCATCGAGTATTCCGTAAAAGGAGGCCTCGGCAGCGGAAAAGCTAAATTTAGAAAGGAGATCCTGTCAGCTTTTCCATTTTTTATTGCCGCTGATTCCGCCCAAAATCAGCACACTTTTCGTAGATGAAAGAGTCAACACAAGCAAATGAATCAAAGGGAACTGGTCAACTCACCTGTCATTGAGTAATATTCCGCGAAAGGAGGTCTCAGCAGCGCCGAAACGAAATAAGCCAGGCCAGGAGACGAAATATCCGAAACAGCTCATGCGAGAAGCAGTTCCAAAGAAGGAAGTTCCTCGTGCATGCACATCCGAAAAGGCAACAACAAAAAGTCTGCAATGCACACGCATGCGGCCAGCCGGCCGCGCGATGGGAGTAGCTCCCTGGTCCAGGACCAGGTACCGAGCATCTTACGTAGAAACTTACGTAGCTACGTAGACAACGTGTCTGAATAGCGGTGTCGTTAGGTAGCGCCATGTGAACACAATAATAGAAAAGCTGACAGGATCGCTTTTCTAAATGTGCATACCGCGTCACAGCATGCTACGCGTATTCTACTTCAGTTAAATGTAATGGCTTTCGTAACCTGCTGATGAGACTCGATAGAATCATGCTACGATGACCCGACTTGTAAATTTGAGATCCATTTTTTTCTGCTCGTCTTGACCCTCCCTCCCCTCATTGCTACTTCCGTTTTCGTATTTTTATTTTCATTTATTTTCTCTTCATTTCTGACTCTTCTTACTGGTTGTCATCGCTTTCATAATATTGGGCAGAACTGCCCGTTTGCCATGCGATGTAAAATAAATAAACAACAACAACAACAACAACAACAACAACAACAACAACAACAACAACAACAACAACAACAACAACAACAACAACAACAACAACAACAACAACAACAACAACAACAACAGTGCCTGGTCAAGGCAAAGCCTGCCAAAGGCATGTTCCTAGCATTAGCCTGGGTTGTGTGCAGCTGAGTCAGTGAGTGTAGTGGATGAGATTCGTTGTCTCGGCGTCACATGATTGTAGACAATCATTAAATTTGTGTCATTCGTCAGCCACGTTAATAACATACAGTAGCTAGACAAGTACATGATAGTAATTTGTATCTCGAAAATCGAATATTCCGCCAATTATCATCGGCTTCTCGTAGACGATATCTGCTGAGTGTTATCCAGCCAAACGTTGAATATTGCTTGCCCGTCTTTGCTCAACACCTTTCTGCTTGCCCTAAAGACCGTCTCTTTGGACTCTGTCGGATAGCCATTGGCGGACTATGCTAATTATGCTTTTGATTATGCCACAATTATGCCAACAAATATGCTGAATTATGCTGAATTATGCTCGGTTCCACTATGTATTCACGCTGTACATAGAGGACTGAGAGATCACGCATACACACACGGCCATGCCCTAAGCATAATTTTTGTCTAAACCGAAAGATTATGCCGACCTTACACGTTGGAATCCGTATATTTAATATGCCGGAGCATAATTTTTTTGACGAAATCCCAAGATTATGCCGGCATAATCCGCCAAGGGCTATGACAAGCAGTCGTAACTGGGGTATTAAAAAAAAACATCTGCAGGCTTTCTGACAAAGCTGTATTATGCCCCTGAGCATAATTTTTGTCTACACCGAAAGATTATGCCAACCTTACACGTTGGAATCCGTATATTATGCCGGAGCATAATTTTTTGACGAAATCCCAAGATTATGCCAAATATTATGCCGGCATAATCCGCCAAAGGGCTACTGTCGGAGAGCAGTGCATGTGTGTTGCGTGTGGCGCATCCTCTAATGCTGATGTCATTCCCCTCTCAGCCAGTCTGAATATAAAGTCGCTAGAATATCGCTTCCTACATACAATATTATCATTATTCTTTTGTTCACATTTGCATATTATATAAGTAAGCCAGCCCTTTGTTGAGCCGGACCATCCTCTCGTCTTGCAGTGCACCTTCCACTCGTAGAACAGTGACTCATAACATGACGATTATTAAAATTGTATCACTCCAAGATAGGATATCAATCGTTCTCTTCGCGAGCCTCATTGCTTTGGAATGCTCTACCAGACATTCTTAATGCCGCTCAGCTTTCGCATGTCCTGAACGATTCCAACAAATTTTTCGTTTTCTCGCCCCTTCTGTTCAACAATGTTTCAGTTTCCCGATGACTGTAACTTTTGCCTGCGCTCATGCTTTGCCAGTTAGTTTTTTTTATCAAAAGCCACGTTTCTTGCAGTAAGTGGGCTTCGACGAAATGCCCCGCCTTTTTTCTCCCTCCTTCTCTTTCTGATGACCCTCAGCTATTTTGTTTCCTGTTCGACCCTCTCAAAGTTATACATTGTACTGTTGAGGCAACCAACTAAAATAAATCAAATACAAAAAAGTAATTACAGATGGAGCGGACTCGCTCCCTTCTATTCACACTGCAACGTTCGAACACATTTTCGTAGTTTCGAAAATGTGTTCGAACGTTGCAGTGTGAATAGAAGGGAGCGAGTCCGCTCCATCTGTAATTCTGTATGAAACTGCAGGAGGCCTCACCGCTTCTAATCTCACAAAAAAGTAAAACAAAGAAAACATCGTATGCAGGGAAGACACCGTGTTGAGTGCTTAACAGAAGGGACCCTGATGAAAACTTGTAGTTTAAAAAATTAATTATAATATATCTTTTCGGAAAGTACAGCATAGTTCTGTAGCGGCCTGACTCCGAACTGTTACGTCCCTTCATACGTAAGCATGCGCAAAAAAACTCGTTCTCTTTGGCCTCAACTTCTTTGTTGTCCGGGTGGCATTGTAGCCGTCGTCAAGGGCCCGACGTAAAACCCTAAACTGGTGACCCCGACGTCCAAGCATGTGTCATCAGGGTTCAGCCTGACTCTGAGTATTGTTTCCCTGTTTAGTAAGTGTTTACGCATCTCACCTATCAGCACAGTCCAGGGAGAGATTGTTTACTTTGTTCCGTAGAGCTGTACGAATTACCTGCGGGGCTTCATATCATGCCGCCGTACCACCCCTTCTTGCTTCTCTTCAAATTAAACACCTTGAATGTCGATACATTTATCAATTTCTTACGTTTACGTTTACCGGTACTTGTCATATTGTTCAGCCTGCATCGTGCTTACGCAGTCTTCTCCCTTTGCCCACCTCTAAGCAGTCAACTCGTGGAACTACAACAAACAATTTGCCAATTTGCTTGCTTAAATCCATGGTAGGGTACAATTCTTTTTCTTCCAGAGCATCCCTTATGTGGAATGCCCTCCCTGTTCACTTGAAACGAATTGAAGACATTAGAATGATCATTTTCTACAGAACTTTTGGACGCTCTAAATGACTACAAATTGCCTATATTCCCTCCTTTTTGAAAATGTATTTCACACATAAAATAAGGCTTGGAATTTTTTAAACATGAATATCGACGGACTTGCCCCTTCTGTTCATGTCTTGCCCCACTCTAGCCCCACTCTTGTAATGGTTCATGAATCCGCCCAGCCCACATTCCTTCTCCGTTTTTTTTCTTTCCTTCCAGTTGCATCTTCCTTTCTGCTCTGTTTTACTTTCTCTTTTCGTTCGTCCCTTTTGATATTTTGTACTTTGTACTGTTGAGGCAACGAACTGAAATAATAAAAACCAAACCAACCAAAGGCATACCATTGCTTTGTAACTTGCTAACCCCTACCTCCTTTTGTGTACGTGCTTTTCTTTTCATTTTTTCTCTTCTTCCTTGGTTGGTTTCACCCTCTCCTCGATTTAATTGGCTATCTTGACATGCTACGAGTACGATGTGCAGAAATAAATATAAATAAAATAAAAGGGTTGCTTCCGATGCAATAGCCTCATTTGTTTACCGTGGAATACAGCCTCTTGTACGGACAAGAACAAAGTAATACAGCTAGCGTGTGTTGAAGAAGAAAATGAGCGGAAACGTACTATGCTGTGAAACACGCATGAGGCATGATTGTACTGTTTTCTTTTGTACGTTTACCATGGCTGGTTATCGCCCTCATCTCTGGGGTTGCTCCCCACATTAGCAATGCGTGCACATGCTACGAGATTGAGTTTTAATAATAATAATAATGATCAGGGCAAATGGCAGGTGAAAAGTCATTACCGTACTAAATTGTATATACTCCATACGGTGCAAACTCAATTACACAATACATGTACATGTACATGTTTCTCATTCCCTCTGTGCTGCGTGCGCTGATAAAAGAGTCCTGTTCCACTCCTGGTAAAAGAATGAGTCCACAAAGGACGAAACAGTTCTGTCCTCAGATTGAGTACAGTCATGTACAAGTACAAGTATGTGTACGGTATTTGTTCCCTGCGCGCGATAATATCATGCGAGCGGAAAATCACCGTACCTTCCTGTCATCCCGTGTACGGCATGCGTACGGTAGAATAACCAGGGCATGGCTGGCCTTGCAAGCTTGCTTGCCTAGCTGGATACGGAACAATGTACGGTACAACAGTGACATTGCCTCAACAAAAATACAATTTTCTATTTTCTAGGGCTTTCAATCTCTCTTCTTGCGCACATATGATCGCGTCAAGTCACATTTGTTGCCCAAAATAGCCGCCTTGGTTCCCGTGCTTCTCAGCCATCTAGCCACAGTGCATGTGGTTGTGTACCCAAATACTGTTTATGTCTAGTACATGTTTACGGTAAATGCAGAGATCTGCATTCTGTTTGCATGGAAGAGCCTGCTCCGAAGCGATTTCTAGCGGATACTGGCACCGATTGCTGTGAAGACGATTTAGATGAAGATCTTGGTTCCGACTTCAACCTTCCCGCAATATCTGTGCGAAGTCGAAAGGTGAACAGTGGTTGGCTTTCCGTGGTTAGTGCGTACAACAAACTGCAAGAGTCTCCGCTTCTTATTGACGATTGCACGAAGGACCAACTCGACAGCTTTCTTTGCAAACTTTACCCGGGAGTAAAGCGCCAGGATGGGAGCGCATACCAGGCAGCCAGTCTTCGCTGCCTGAGATCTGCTCTGCGACGCTATATCGAAGAGGAACGTAACTGGAATATCGTGCGTGATCCCGCATTCGAGTCCGCGAACGACTGCTTCCATGGAGTGCTGGAGAAACTGGAACCTCGTCCAGACCACCCTCCGGTGCAGCACCGCGATCTGACAGTGATTAGCGATGCCGACATGCAGAGGATGACCGACACGTTCCTCCAATGCCATGGCCCAGCGCTACTCGTCATGGAGGTGTGGTTCTACTTAACCTACCACTTTTCACTCAGCGGCCGAAGAACCCAGCGACAGGTCAAGAAATCTGACCTGGCGCTGAAAGTGGACCGCACCGGTCACGAGTATTTTCTGTTCAACGTGGGTGAGACGGAGAGGAATCAATCGGGTACTGCTACATATAGGCATGACACGACGCCGGCTGGGAGAATCAAAGATAGATATCAAGTGTCTCGCATCAAGACCCTGCTAGCGCATCTCCACCCCGAGCAAGAGGCTCTCTTCCAGAAGCCAAGACGAACCCTGAGGGAAGGAGACGACGTCTGGTTCAAGAACATACCAATCGGTACCCATGGACTTGCACAAATCATGCCTAGACTCTCCACGCTTTGTGGACTGTCCAAGAGCTACACCGACTATTCCGTTCTGGCCACACGAGGTCATCATCTCTGGCAAGCGGGTGTACGAGATCACCACGCTAACAAAGAAAAAGGACGCAGCGATTACCCTAGCTTGTCCAGTGACAACATGCTATGGAGCCCGTCTGATCGAAGAACGTCAGTTCCAGACAAGACGTCGACAAGACAAAGCCAGCAACCAGCAAGCTTTGGTTCCTGCATGCCTGCACCGAGACCGTCTCCACAACCAATACTCAGCTCACCAGCAATATCCTCTCAGCCGTTACAAAGAGTCCAGTGCATCTCCAGAACAAGTGTACCACCGCCAGCTACTCATCCGACACAGCAGCCGCCGCAACAAGCATATTTTCGACCACCCAGACCAACAGAAATACGTCTATCGTTTGCTTCTGACGTGCCTCCTCCTTCTCCCTCTCCTGCTCCCAGACCGTTTGTTCTCCCATCGCCTTCAAGGTTACAGGCTGCCGCTCCTCGAGCATCACTTCACAACTCTCACTCTAGGACTGCGAGCTGGAGTGGCGAGCACAGCCTCGATCAGGACCAGCAGCAAGTGGTTCATTGTGCTCTTCGTCCTCTTCTCTTTGGTGGCAAGATGCAAGCCTGTAAGATCACAATCAACATGCAACCATACTAACAAGTCTGTCTAGTCAGTTCTGAAAAAGTTGCAAGGTTGAAAAATGCGCTATACCTGTTTGTTTTATTTGAAGTTTTATTTTTATTTTACATCGCACACCAAAGGCCGGGGCATTGATGCCCCGTGTGATCTACTGGCAGGTCACGGGTAGGTAACATCTACGCTGTTCTACGTTCTCTAATAAAACCTTGTTCAATACTCGAACACCAAGGTCGTATTACAATGAAATCAAGGCTGGCTCAGCTGTAGTATGTACTCAACATGTCGGTAGTACGAGGAAACAACGTTGAAACTCGCACAAGAACATTATTCAAATACCGTTTTCGAAGTAAAGCGTATTATGAATTTACTCTATTTCCATCAGTTCACATGCACGATGAGCTAGGCAAAAAAAGCATAGCGTAGGGCCCTGAGCTTCCAAGCTCTCTCGTTTTATTTATTCTTCGGAAAACACTGAAATGAGATAGATATAGGATATCATGCTAGACTAATGACTATGTGGAAGGTAATACTGTACCGCATACCGGTGTAATGAGACTCCACATAGCAGTAGCAATTCATCGTGGATTGTGCTTTTTAAATCCCAAGTCTGTGTTCGAAACTTCATAACAGATTCTCCAACTGCAAGAATCGTGCAATACTGTAGGGAGAGACGGCTACAGCTTGACTGACGGATGAAGACGACTGAAGGGCTACAGAGTGGCGGCTTTGTGCTCTTCCTGGGCAGTCGAAACATGAATTGTAGTATTACTACACAGCGTAAACTAAGGACTTAGTTGGGGGGGGGGGGGGGGCACATTTTTACGCGAAGAGATGAAGCCAGTTGTGCAACTGATGAGACCTTTGGTATAATTTACTTCTCAAATCAGTACATTTCACAACCAATATGCTGTCTACACTGACAACGTTACGTTTCGTCACATTAGAGAGGTTAAGATGCACGTTATTTCCGACGTAACGCGCAATTTCATGTCAAATTTGGCGTAAAACTCCAAATTTCGACGTGAGCAGCAGGTCACTCGCGTTGATTTTTCGACGTGCGAGCCAAATAACGCGAGCTGAACTTTCGCGTCACGTCAGAAAAAACGTGCATCGTAACCTCTCTATTACCATGATTGCACTACTGATTTGATACAGATTATGCTAATATTTTCGTGAAATTATGCTTTTCGCATTGCTGAACAAATTGCAGAATTATGCTATTTTTATGCTAAAAGTTATCATAATATGCCGCATTATGCTCACATATGCTGCTAATGTATAATGGTTCTGTGCAAAATAACAGGGGAATTTTTGTAGAGGGCGTTGTACTGTAGTAGCAAAAGTTCAACGGGCTCAACGCACCGTCCGACCTAGCTACGACCGTCCCTGATTGTAGTGGACTGGGCATGTTATCAAGGGAGTCGTAAACCTACAACTTTCTGGTGCATCTACTTGTACTTATACTTGTAGGACATGTACAACTGTATGGAATTTGATGCGAACAGGCGGATTATTCCAATTTTATGCGATTCGTATGCAATTTGCCTCGAATTATGCGATTACTCGATTTTGGTAGGAATTATGCGACAAATTATGCTAGCATAATCTGTCAAGGCCTATTGATAAGTAATGGTACGAAAGGCCTCATCGTTTCACAACTGTTGTTGTTGTTAAATAGCAATGAAAAATATCAATTGTGCACTCATAACCATGTATAAACAATTAAAATGAAACAATTCCAGAACGTTTTCGTGTGACCATCATCAGTGGAACATCGTCACATAGTAAGAATCACTAAAACAACCAGTTATATAGCTAGAGTAATATGAAAAGAAGCGTGAGAATGCAGCACAGCTAGCGGTTATGCATAACGCGTGTAGTGTGAACCTTTGCAGTGTATCTGAGAATGGTAGCAGTAGATGAATGTGGCAGCTGTGAGTGCGTGTGAACAAAAACTGGTGAGTGCGTATTATTTAAAAAGTGTGAGTGCTACAACATTTTCTTTTTGCTTGCATAGAACAGGGTCACGTGTGCGAAGTGTTATTTGTCGCGCGCGTTTCTTTAAGCAGTTGCAGGTGTTGGAAGCTGTATATATTCGCACACGTGACCCTGTTCTATGCAAGCAAAAAGAAAATGTTGTAGCACTCACACTTTTTAAATAATACGCACTCACCAGTTTTTGTTCACACGCACTCACAGCTGCCACATTCATCTACTGCTACCATTCTCAGATACACTGCAAAGGTTCACACTACACGCGTTATGCATAACCGCTAGCTGTGCTGCATTCTCACGCTTCTTTTCATATTACTCTAGCTATATAACTGGTTGTTTTAGTGATTCTTACTATGTGACGATGTTCCACTGATGATGGTCACACGAAAACGTTCTGGAATTGTTTCATTTTAATTGTTTATACATGGTTATGAGTGCACAATTGATATTTTTCATTGCTATTTTACGACTGTTGTCTCCTCGTCGGTTGTTGTTGTTGTTGTTGTTTATTTTACTTCGCAGATTCTAACGGGCAAGTTGCCCAATATCAAGAAAGCAAAGGCAAAGAAAATAATACTAATAAAAGAAATAACCGGGGGCAGCAGAAAATGAATAATAGCTTTAAGAAGTCAGATGGTGAGCCAAGGAACAAATTTCCATGTTACAAATAATCGCTTTTAAAAGTAAAAAGAAAAGAGCGGGTGGTACAGCAGACTTCCTATTCTGAATTCCCTGAACGAAGCAGAGACATTAGCTGAGTACATGTCACTATTACACAGTAGCAAGAGAGCTACCTCGGTCGACATCAGTGGACGTGGACTACGAGTGGATGCGACATACGAGTGGATGCGACAGCAACAGTGACTGGAATAATGGGTGATACGTTTCATGGAGCGAGCGTATGTGGGATGACTGACATCTTGAACACACTGCGTTGGGGGTAAACTGGATTCGTCTTCTCGTGTGATCAGATAACACCGTCAACTGTTGAAATATCACTCCAAAACTGGTGTTTCCTCGAAGAGTCGTGCAGGAAAGCAATCACCTGGCACGGAGACAACACTTGGATCTGTTGCCAAGGCTAACCCCGGACGGGTGATTGTTGAATAATTGGTAGATTCTCGGTGGTAACACAAGGGGGTATGTAAGGAATGCCTTAGCACTTCATCGAGAATCGCGCTCTGTAGAGCGTACCTTAATGGTGGGGAAGTCCGCATTGCTCTGCTCAGTACTGAGACATAATAATATTACTACTTCCACCTATTGGATTGTACTTACACTGTCGCAGTGTAGGATCATGCAGGCTGCTGGTCGCCTATCTGCCTGTAAAAAAGTAAATTATCGTGTCCGTTCCCGAAGGGAACTCACGACGGCCGCTAACACCCGATAAACCCTAGCGGCAGATGCAGCGCCTAACGGTGGGGGTGAGTGAGTAAGTCTCACAACCACTGGCACAAGTGCCGAAAACGACCCCATTAGCTGCATCCATGTACCCTTGTGCCTGGCCACAAGTTCCCAGTTGACTGTGGGTAGCAGCACGGCTGTGGGTAGCAGCACGGCTGTGGGTAGCAGCACGGTATCTCAATCATGGTCTTTGACCAACCCACTGTGCCTGTCTGGTTTTTATCTGCCTGTAGTCTGGTATAATACGTATGCATGATTGGCAGCAGTAGTCACTGTCATACCAACAAGCCCTGATTACATTTGAATACGTTGAGCTCTTTGTCCATTATGTAACTCGGATGGTGAGCCAATTAAAACAATAATTGTGAAAAGAAGAAGGAATAAAATGTTACGAGTTATGACTAACTGTCCACCAACGTATCCAGATCTTATACAGTTAGCGAGTCAGTTTTGTGCCATTTTGTCGCACTCGCTGACTGTATAAGATCTGGTTACGTTGGTGGACAGTTAGACTCGTAACATTTTGTCCTTCTTCTGTAAACTATTCTTTGTCCATTGTTTTTTTTACATTTTGCTGATTCTAACGAGAGAGCTTGGAAGCTCAGGGCCCTACGCTATGCTTTTTTGCCTTGATGACCTAGACAAAAAAAGCATAGGGATGTTATAAATCCTTATAAGTTTCTACTTTTTGTTTTCAGACATATTAAACCTGGGATTCGAACCGCACTATCGCCCTGCATGCATCCCCCGATACACTTCGCATACATACTAATTCTTCCAAGTTGCTTCACGTTATGATCTTGTATTTGAAAGCCCTATTTGAATATGCATTGTGGCCAGCCGTCTTTGATGGTACGGTACGGGATAGGTACGGGACGGGTACGGGACGGGTACGGGACAGGTACGGGATAGGTACGGTCGAGGGTAATACGATACCATCTACCGCCTTGATGACGGCAAAAAAAGAAAAGGGCAATTCTCCCCTTTTTTCAGGCGTTACCTGGGATTCGAACCCGCATTATCGCCCTACATGGATTCCCCCATACACTTCGCATTCATACTCATTCTTCCAAGTTGCTTCACGTTATGATCTTGCGTTTGAAAGCCCTATTTGAATATTGCGGCCAGCTGTATGTGGCCAGCTGTGTTTGATGGTACGGTACGGGACAGATACGGGATAGCGCCAGGCGTGACACAAACACACAAACAAACAAACACCAAAATAACGAGAGAGCTTGGAAGCTCAGGGCCCTACGCTATGCTTTTACGCCTTTTTGCCTAGCTCATCGCACATGTTATAAGAACTGATGGAAATGTCTTTTTCCGTTGATTGGCCACACCACTGTATTGCAAAAACGTTTCAATCGGTTTCAATATTATGAGTTAGGCAAAAGTATTTGCAGAATTTATTGCGGATTGTTATTTCTCTAATAATCATCTACTTTTGGTTTGCTCCTTCTTTTCTTTTTATCTCCTTATACTGTAAATCAACAAATTTTGGCCGATGAGAAATAGAAACCTCTCTATTAGAGAGGTTAAGATGCACGTTATTTCCGACGTGACGCGCAATTTCACGTCAAATTTGAAACCGATCGGTATTTTTGCTCTCTCATGCATCC